AAAAAAAGGGCAAAAGACTTTCCCAGACGGCAGTCAGCTGATGCTGAGGTCACCTAGAGGATCCGATAAAAATATATCTCAAGATACAAACAAACAATAATACAATCGACAATCGTCACCCGTACCTCTCGCCTCTTGGATACTTACATGTAACAATTTTCAAACGTGTATAAACTCGTTCTATATAGCTGGTTTAACAAAATGTGAAAATAAACTCGGCAAAACTCATATTTTACACAATGTACAAACAAATATATATTTAAGAAACCTTAGAAAAAAAACGCAAACTCAGTCCAAAACACGGAAACGGAAAAAAAAACTTAATATTCCGACATTCGGGCATCGAGACCTAATTGCTTCCTCGTTTTACCGACAAATAAATCCTTGGATTTGATCAAACCCGGTACGCGTCCAATTAAGGTTGTCCATGGATATTGAGCCGCTGCATCTCGTCTCCCCAACGAAACAATAACTTTGATCGTCTGCGGTTTATAACTCGCCATTTTCGTTTCTTTTTCTCCACTCATTAATACCTTCAAATTCTTTGCAGCCATTAGAGCATGCTTTTGTGCCAAGTACCCTTGCTTACTTTCCTGAAATATAAATTCATTTCAATTTCATTCACGTTTTATCGACGAAATAGTAGGGGTATTATAGTAATTATCCAATTAATTAATTAAATTAAGCACTAACCTTAACATCTGTAATATCTCCAACAGCAAAAACATTAGTGTGTCCTTTAACTCTGAAATTTTCGTCAACTTTCAACCTTCCGAAGCTGTCTAAGCTGTCCTTAAACGCCGTTTCTTTCAGCCAAGCCGAGCCGGTGGGTTTTCCGGTGCACACGAAAAGACAGTCCGCCTTGATAGTTTCTCCGGATGACGTTACGTAAGTTTTGGTTTCGTAAGAGGATACGTTTAGATCAACCGAACATTGCAGTTTCACTTCCACTCTCTTCGATTTCAGCCAATCCAATGTCCTGTTAGCAGCTTTCGGTCCTATGAATTCCAATAAACGGGACCCGCTGTGAACGAGAATAACCCGTTTTTCCGGAAAATCGACGGCGATTTCTGCGGCTAGTTCGACTCCGGTGGGCCCCCCACCGACTATCAAAACGGTGTTTGCAGCTCTTATCTCCTCGTGTACTGCAGTAACATTGTACTTTTATGATTATGGATTCTGAAATGCTAGATGTCGTTTCAATTTTATTAATACCATTCTGACTCTGAACGTGATTTTGACCATTTTCTACTCTGATTTTGGCAAAATTGAAAATTACAGAAACTGTAATCCAACTAGATTGGATGTCAGGTTACGAAGTTATGCATTAATGAGTAACATTTTGAGTTTTACATAACTCAAAACATTAAAACTTTACGAGCAGTGTTCATTGATTCATGCATATCTTTCTCGCACAACATCCAATCTTGGCGATTCAAGTTGAATTAAAAAGTTAACTTACAGAACTACAAATTCAGCCTCGAAAATGGTCAAAATCATGTATGAAGTCGAAACGGTACTACGAAAACTGACACGACATTTATCACATCCCATATAGATTCAACGTTTTCAAGAAGTCACATGTTAAGTAACATAAAACACTTTATTTTTTTGCACTTATATAATAAAAATGATACCTATTTTGAATTCTTTGAGCCGCTCGGATCTTGTTTTCGGGAAGTCGTCGTTGTGGCCGGTGGCAATCACGAGATACTCAAAGGTAAATAGACGGCCTTCGGCAGTTAATACTTGAGAATTAGAGATGCTTATTGCCTTCGATACGACGAGGCGCCCGTTCGTAAGATAATCTTTGTGGTAAATTAAGGATCTCTCCGCAAAAGATGGCTCCACCATTGACCTCAAGCTTGCCCATGGTATCTCAAAATATTCCTTCCTATTTTTTTAATCCAAATATATATACAGAATTTGTTTTATTAATTACTAGGATGAAAATAAAATGAATTAAATACTCTGTTTTCTTAGGATGTTTGTGATCTTCAAACTTCATGAATTAAATTAAATTAATAAATAAAAAAATCTTAAAAACTTCTAATAATAATCATAATAACAAACACAGATCTCAGATCAAATAATAGAAATTGAATATTTGAGTTGATAATTAATATAATTCTTGATCAGATCAGAATAAATTGCAGAATGCTACAGAAAAATAAAATGGTTGACTATGGAGGCTTACGGGTCAATGAGGGTAACATCTGCATGAAATTGAAGAGACTTAGCAATGAGAGAGCCGGCTACGCCGCCGCCGACAACCACCACCCTCTTCCACACTCCGGCCAACTCCGATGACTTCACCCCCTCCATATCCCCACCGCCACTACTATTATCTTTTTTTTTGTCAACTATTTCGCAAATGCAGACAACAACAAATTATGTATAAATAAAGACAATGTCAAATTTTAGAGAGAGAAGCAAAAAACCGAGTAACGATGGTTGACCAATTTGGCATCCAGTGAGGCGAGAAAAAAAAAAAAAGTCAACATCGTGGAAGGCAGAACGAAGTTGGTTTATTTTATTTATCGGAAATTAACAGTAATTATTTAATTAATGCAATTATTATTTTATAAGTATTTCGTCTGATTATCGTATTATATAATTAACTGTGATTCCTTCCTTGTAAAAAGAATAAAAGAAAAGGTTGAATTTGTCAACTAGAATCTAGATTTTCGTTAGAAGGGTATAATATTGCGAAAATAAAATATCTTAGGGGTGGTTTTGACAATTAGCTGAGACATCGAGGATGAAAATGATGTTTTCCCACTAAAATTATAAGCATTAAATCTCTTGATAAGCTTGTTTTAAATGTTGTTGATAAGTTCTTACGTCAGATAAGTAGTTTTAACTTTTAAGAGTTGATAGACTCTTACGTTTTATTTTTAGAATTAATTTTTAAAGTGTTTGGATAATGAGTTTATAAGCTATTTTTACTTATTATAAGATCTTAAATAAAAATATAAAATATTTATATCTTAAAAAAAAATTATTTGCACTCGAGCAGCTTAATTTTTGAATTTTAAAGATTTTTTTGAAAAGAAATAATAAACACTTCGAAAATAATTATAAAATCTCAAACATCTTAAATTTTTTTTTTTAACAATTTATAATCGCAACCATGATTTAATAATTAGATTATTATTATAAATATACGTATTTTCTCTCTAAGATTTTAGAATTCCAATTTTGAACTATAAAAAAACATTTACAATTTAATGTTTAGTAAAGAAGTTTTAAATTATTATAGAGTTGTGGGCCGCCAAAATTTATTTATCCGTAGGCCTACATGATATAGAGATGTTTTTGCCTTGGTCCATAAATATATATTCGGGTTAGGACTCGGCCCATATACTTTTCCGTAATTTCCAATATTTTTTTAGCAAATATTTTTTCAATTACGGTAAAACCCTCAATAAATTAATAACCTCACTTAAATAATAGTTACTTCTAACTTGGTGAAAATGTATTATATTATTAGTTTGATAATTTAATATTTCGCTAATTTAATCGAATTTCTTCAGTTCCGACTATATTAATTTATAGAGATTAACTCTACAATTAGGTTTCTTAAACTAATTAATTAGTCATATGTTGTAATAGCAATGGAACTTCTTCTCCAGACAACTTCTTCTAAACTTCTACTTAACCCCAGCAATTAATCCTCTCTATTTAATTAATTAATGCTCTTTATCAAATCAAACCTCTAACATTTAAAAAAAAAAAAAAAATTAAACATGTCAATTTATAATCATTGGACACCAGCCATGGAAGAATACGACGTCGAAAATCCACTCTTGGCTAGCCACCCTGAATCTGATCAAGAGTCGTGTTATTCGATCTTCATCGATTTAGTCGATCGACACCGTAATCTAATTTCTAATAATCGCTATCGTAATTGCCGGTTTATTTTTTCTTGGGATTAGATCGTCTTTTACAAATGGGAAAGTAGGAACGAGAATACCGTAAATATTTATTCTAATGAAACAGGCTAGATACCAACTCTTCGAGCAAAGTCGGTTTCTTTATCTCTTTAATTAGTACATTTAACACTTGTATCCTTGCACGTATATTAAATATATATTTCAGAGTATTCTAATTTCCTTTTAGAATGAAAGGATATCCTTACCTTGTGAAAGTCTTACTCTTTTTTCAAAAGAGAATATTCATTATGCAATCGCAAGGGCAAGATCGAGTACAGTTAGAAGAATATAATACAGAGTTTAACGACCCAAGTTCGATTCTCCGTATCAACACTTTATGTCTAGGTCTACTCGCATTCAAATCTTGATTATAAAATCCAAATATCATGATTGCCATTGTTCCTTCAAAGCCAAGAAAATTTAAGATTGTCTATTGTGGGTAGTTTCACCACATATATCACCCCTCAACCACCCCTCATCAACTTCATGTAAAGGTGATTTCTTCAAATATCAATTTCACCTAATAAATAATAATAATAATAATAATAATAATAATAATAATAATAATAATAATAATAATAATAATAATAATAATAATAATAATAATAATAATAATAATAATAATAATAATAATAATAATAATAATAATAATAATAATAATAATCAATATAATTCCTTGATGGATTTATTTATATAGAATTGAATGATAAATTTATGTATTTTCTGTATTATTATTAATTGTTGAATTATGCAGTTACTCAAAGTGTATTGGATAAATTTGTACTCGTGCAAAATTCGATTTATTTTGGCAAATAGTGCAAGTGATTCCAGGCAGAGAATTGGAGGTTACCTGTTGGCCATTTTATAATGGCATCTTCGTAAGAAGTGAAATTACAAATGGGCCCCTCATAAAAAGGTTTCTTGAATCTTGTAGACTTTGTATTTAAGCATATACCAAGAAAATGAGATAAGGTTTCACCAATAAATATACCCATGCCCCACTTCATACTACTAATTTTCAGTCTAATATTATGGTGGTGTGTAAAAAACTTATTCAAAAGCATAAGCTCTGTGATTGTGAGTTAAGTTAATATTAAGTGTTTATTTTTAAAAGTTAAGATCAGTGTTTGTAAATATCCTGAAAAATGAATTTCAATCGAAAAAGCAGGTATATGTGTGCTTTTAAACTAATTGTTTAAAATGTTATATTTGAAGATAAACAAAAATAAAAGTTGATTTTACAAACACATAAAAACAGATTGTGAACAAAAAAAGCTCGAAAGTTGTTTCTAAAAACTTTTGGAAACACCGTAATTGAAAATGTAGACTATGATTTTGAAATTGGACCTATAATTTACACCTCCCACCCACCCCACACACACACACACACATAAACACACACAATTCATTATACTATAAATGACATGTCACGTATACACATAGAACTCTCCCCACATTTAATTCTACCCAAAAAAATTAAAAATTAAAAATTAAAAAAATATTTTTTTTCTCACCCATAAATTCTTCCCACACTATACTCATTTAGACCTTCATAAAACAAACACTAATTTCTAGAAACCGCCGTACTACCACCAACATGACGGCCAAGGACTGCGGCCACGACGACGACGACCACCACAAGAAACTCCAGCGCCGCCTCTTCGCCGCCGCACTCGGCTTCGTCATCGTCGTCCTCTTCCTCATCCTCCTCGTATGGCTGATCCTCCGCCCCACGAAGCCGCACTTCATCCTCCAAGACGCCACCGTGTACGCCTTCAACCTCTCCTCCGCCGCCACCACCCTCACCACCACCCTCCAAATCACGATCTCCTCCCGGAACCCCAACGACAGAATCGGCATCTACTACGACAAAATCGACGTCTACGCCGCCTACCACGGCCAGCAGATCACCCTCCCCACGCTTCTTCCGGCCAACTACCAGGGCCACAAGGACGTCACCGTCTGGTCGCCGTTTCTGTACGGTAACGCCGTTCCGGTGGCTCCGTACACCGGAGTTTCACTGACACAGGATCAGATCGCCGGAACGGTGCTGGTGAACATCAAAATCGACGGCAGGGTTAGGTGGAAAGTAGGGACGTTTATCTCCGGGAAGTACCACCTGTACGTGAATTGTCCGGCGTATATAAATTACGGCGGCCGGAATAATGGGGTCGCCGTTGGGCCGGCGGTGATTAAGTATCAGTTGATCTTGGATTGCCATGTTGATGTTTGAGCTTTCATTATTATTCATTAAAAGAATTAAAAAAAAATTAATTAGTAAATTCTTTTTTAGGGGAAAAATACCGTTTTGGTCCCTTATATTTGCATCGACTCCACAATTGGTCCTCGCGTTCACAAATAATATACATTTGGTCTCTCGTGTTTCAAAAATTCTACACTTTTAGTCATTTCCGTCAATTTTTCGTTAGTACTAACAGAATCAAGCGTGTGCCCATCACTGCATTAACAGACGGACTAACGGTAAATTGACGAAAATAACCAAAAGTGTTTAATTATTGAAACACGAGGGATCAAATGTATTTTTTGTGAACTTGGGGGACCAAATGTAAAATAAGTGTAAACTTGAGGGGTGAAAATTGTAATATTCACTATTCTTTGGTGTATCTTTATTTATAGAAAAGTATTTTTAATTCGGATATCATGTGAGTTTTATCTAAATTAGTGGTCACATTATTATATTGTATCATTATTATTTATGAGTTAGTTATATGTGATGTAAAATTAAATAGTTTGACAATTGTGGATGTGAATTTATATATATTTCTTATTAACATAACAACTAGAAGAAGTATATAAGATATATTTGGTTATTGTATATTAAATGAAAACGTTTCCCCAAAAAGAAACAAAAATTGGACACTATGGTGACATATATAGGGACTTGGAGTGAAATATAAGTTGTTGTGAGGGCTTATAATATATTTTGATCATCAAAACTTAGAGTGTAAGAATGGTTATTAATTAAAAGATTTGTCTATAGATAATTAAAAGAAAATGGAAGGACATAGTTCAATGAGTGATTGAAATTTTCTTAAGGTTTGTTGACATAGGTCCAATCTATGTCACACCCAATAAAGTGTAATTTAGATTATTTTATTTTATCTAGATTATTTTATTTTATCTATTTCTTAATTTTTTTATGAAGGGAAAATTATGGCAATATTAAACTCAAATTACAAAAATATTCGTCTTATTTGAATAATTACAGCAATATTTATTTGGCTTCTTAATATGTAGGAACAGATGGAGTATAATAATTGAGCGGGCCAATATGAATTCTAATAAAGATCGTTTATATTTGTAAAAATTCCCAATTATTACCATACCAAGAACTTTGTTTCTCAATAGGTGACATTATAAATATAAATACAAATAATTAAACTCCAAGAATCTATGTAGCACTATATTGTATAGTTTTCCCCTTAGACCTCGATTCTTGATGAATTGACACCATATTTTTAGGATCATGTTTCACAAAGATGGATCATATTTCACTTGAAACATAATCGAATAAAACTAATCGATATTTAACTTGAAATATTCAATTGCTAAAAAATAAATCCGGGCTCGATTCATTAAGAAAAAAAGGGAATTAATCAAATTTAAATGTTTTTTTTTTAATTTAAATAACAAGGGCTAGTTTGAAATCAAACAAATTAAAATAAAAATTTTAAAAAATATTTGAAACTCAAAAAAACTCAAACATGAAAAGTTAGTACATGTTCCAAACTGTGTCATGAGTTGTAAGCCATAGTACGTTAGCATGTAACAACACAGTACTTACTCTGTTCTGAATAAGTCCATGCACTCGTCACTATCTTCACTCTTTTCTTTATGTGCTGTAATATTACATATATACCCCTACAACCATAATAATAATAATAATAATACTAATAATAATAATAATTAACACTTGTGCATGACTCATTACTAAAGAGTATTTGACTTGCATATTTACTCATTGCTGGAAATTAAATATTCTTTAATAATCCTTAATAAAACCCGATGAAATTCGAATTCGATTTATTATATGTTGTACCAGCGTATTTCATCGGGTTATATTAAACCATGCACAAACGTGTAGAATAACAAATTCACTCACATATATATATATATTTATTTAATTGTATACAAATTAACAATAAAAAAACTACCAATATATTTTACCGGATGTAGAGCTCGATCGCTAAGATTATAAATTAATATTTGATGTATATAGTTTAGATACATATTCCAAAAATTTATCTGCTTACAACCTTATCAGTTTCTTCATCAATGATAATAATAACACTTGGAATATCAACAATTGCATTTTGTTCAATATTCTTATTATTTTCATTTGACGGTTCACCGTCAACTCCGTTAATTATATCTGTGCGCTTGAAGTTTGCCATGGAACTAAGCTCGTTAACGGCGTCAGCAATTTGCTCCACGCTGGCAACTGTATCTATAAGCAACGCTGCAACCGGTATTACTTGCAAAAGATTTTTATAATATTCTTCACATAAACCCGATTTCAGTATTGATTTTAGGTTACTGGACGCGATTTTAAGACTCGCGATTTGGGGATTAATTTTATAAGATGATGACGTCATTGTTTCCACGCTGGATGCTAATTCTTTTAGTGCTTTTCCAGCCTGTGCACTCATTCTTGATAATGCCTCGTGGACTTCTTGTGGGGCCTACAACATTTACCAAATCAATTCAATAATCATTTTTTTTACGATAAATTACAACTACCTCCCTGAGTAAGGTGTTTCACGAAAAACCCCATTATTTTTTAGAAACTACATCCAACCCCTTGAAGTTTGTAAATTTATTACATTCACCCCCTACAAAAGGGTGTTAATGTAAGAAATTTACAATTTGAAAGGGGTGGATGTAATTATGGAAATAGGGTTTTTTTTCATAAATAAACCTTACCTCAGGGGGGTGATTGTAATTTACCATTTTATTTATCCCTGATCATTAATAATGTATTTACACTAATCATAATTAATATTAATTAATTACTTGATTAATTATAGAGGTAATTAAGTAGCCGTTGAGGGCTTCAACTCGACAGGCACACAGCCTAGTCAAATTTCCAATCTTTAAATATTGTTTCCATGGATGCCGATACATGAATCTCCCATGCCCTGGTTCCCATCTAGCAAAATTTGCCTGCCAATAGTCAAAATAATTAAATTAACTTGTGATTTAATTTAATTTCCTCATGTTAATTATTAATATATGTATTAATTGTTTTATTTTCACCCACCAAGGCTTCTTCACAACTCTTTGAATCAACAACAACACTATTCAAGCTTGCCCGTGCCAACTTTTCGTTCTCCGATTTTCTCAAAGACTCGTCCATAACTCCTACAAAAAAAAAAATCGATTATGACAATATAATTAAGTGATTATTAATGTTGTTCTAGATCATGTAATAAGTGTGTTTATATATATATGTGTGCACCTTCCAAGAAACTTCCGAGTTTTTCAATATTTTGAGCAACGAGGTTGTGAAGATCTTCGCCCGCCCATACAGGAGAAACGAAGATCGAAACAATCACACAAGTTGATGCACCGATGAGTATAGTCGATAGCCTTTCCTTAGCAAGATCGAATATTTCATCGGTTCGAAGACCGGATATAGAAATCAGACAAAATGTCAATATGAACATTAGCATCCCGTAATCGTATCTAGCCTTCACTTTTGGATAGAATCTTATGTACGTCGATACCACAGCTGCGCCATGGAATATTCATTAATATTTTTAATGAAGGATCTAATTTCTATGTATTATTTCTATATAAATATAGATATAGATATAGATATAGATAAATACCTTGTAAGAAGACGAAAAGTGTGATGAATACGGGCTCGGGCTCGTAGTTTTTGCCAAATAAACTTGCGAAGTGATTAGCTCCAAGACCAAGTGCACCACCTACTAAGGTTGCTAATCCTCTATTAAGCCCTTTTCCAATTGTTGCACCTAATTATAAATAAAAATTAAAGTATTTACCGAAATGAGAAAATGTCGATATATTCTTGAAAATCAAGAAAATGGAGAAGAAAAAACGTACCGACAGAGAATTCGAAAACGACAACAACGGTCAACACGGCCCACATTGTGGATGTGCGAAAAGTGACGTATAGAGGATTGAGGTAGTAGAAAAACGAGACTAGTGAGATTGTGAGGCCGAATTTTAGTGAGTGGATTAATCTTCTCGGATCGTCTTTCGCCACCTTTGTAGTTAGCCTAGCAATTTCGTGTATTGTAGATAGTAAACCCGAGCCCTTAAGCCACAATCGTTTCTCGAGATTTCTTGCCTCCATTATCTTTATATTAATTATATTCCTATATTTTTTTTAAATAGGTGATGATCCACAATAATCAAAATATCCCTTGCTTATATAATAACAAGAACGCATATGAATATGACAAAAGGAATATATTCAATTCTTGACATGAATGTTTTTATTTATTTTATTTTTCTTTTCAGTAGTGCCCTTTTTGAATAATTTGTACCAGAAAAGTACAAAAAGACCAGAGAGATAAGAGGTTGCAATTGCAAGATATAAGTGCTTTGCTCCTTTTATTTTATTTTAAATATATCTTTTTTTTAGGCTAAAGGTGAAAAAAGTGTATCTGGAAATTTCCATTTAGCAGCAGTTTTGCTTCTGATAAAGCTACGACACGGTATCGAGTTTTTACTATGAATAGGCGGATTAATTTATAATTGGCCACATTGCACTATATATATGTGTTTGATCATAATCGAAAAGCT